AGACGGAGCCCAGGGAGGCCCTCTGGGAGCCAGACTTCGGGCGCCTCGGCCTGGCGCGACCTGGTGCTCACAGACTGAACTGTCACCCTGACCAAGAGGTTTCTTTCTGGCCCTGGCATGCCGGGTTCCGCACATCCGCGCGGCTTCCATGCCCCTGGCTGGGCGGGAGCCGGGCTGGGCGGCCACAGGAAGGTAGACCTGCTGGACTTGGGGGGCGGAAGCAGGTTCTGGTCCATCAGGGCTGACCGCTGACCGCTGACGCAGGGGAAGGCCGGGAGGCGCTCTGGTTTGTGTAGGGGTGACCTGCGCATCTCAGAGGAAGAACCAAGGAGGGGGGGGGCAGCAGAGACGGGACACCTCCAGGGGGAGGCGTGCCCACCCCAGGCTGCCTGCTGGCCCCAGGTCATGAGGCCATGACAGGAGGCGTCCACCCTCTAGGGACTCGTCCTGTGATGAGGACAGTTCAGAGGGAGGGCTCTCAGGTCCATGTGAGATGCCCGGGTTCACCCTGAGTCCCACTTAGGGAGCAGCGAGAAAGGGAGCGGGTGCGGGCTGAGCCCTCAGGACACGCTCCGCGCAGCACTGGGCTTCGCAGGCAGGCGGTGGACCTGGGCCGGGGCCGCCATGGCACACGCCTTAAGCGCTCGAATCCGCCAGAGCCTGGCTTCCTCAGGAGGCACGTGCAATGCCTGAGGTCACCCCGCCCTCTTCCTGCAGGATGGGGGTGGGCGGGAGGTTCCAAGCTGTCACTCACGGCCCAGTCACCCGCCCCGCACGAGTTGCAAGGGGACTCCCAGGTCTCGGAGGCCCGAGTGTCTGGAAGCAGCGCCGGAGGCCACGGGTGTGAGCGGAGGATGCTCCCAGTCCCGCCGCTCAGGGCACCCCTGGGGCTCGGGGCCAGGAGCCGGGGCCAGAGGCCGGAGGTCCTCATCATCACACCGCGTCCCCCTTCTTTCTCACAGACCAACAGCAGCTGTGAGAGCAACAGAACCGCCTCGGACCCGGGCGACATCCTGGACAACCCCGCCCTGCCCTTCTACGAGGCGGTGCTGGGCCTCAGCGCCCTGGGCCTGGCCTGCGTGGGGGTCTGCTCCGCGGCGGCCTTCACCCGGGCCACCAGGACAGCATCCACCGCGCTGCACAACGACCTCTTCAGCAAGGTGGGCGCGGGGCCTGCGCAGGCCAGGCCGGGCTGGACGGGGCCCCCTTTAGAAAAAAGCTAGGCGCTGTGGGCTGTGTTTGGTTCAAGAACAGTGGGTGGAGAGCACAGCGTTCTCGCCGGCCCTCACCAGCCCCCCACGTGAACACCCTGCCTGCGTGTGGGCGTGTGTCCCAGCCAACGCCCATATGGGTCTCTCATCATCATCGTTACCTAATGTCCACAGTCACACGAAGGTTCCCTCTGGGTGGTGTACAGTCTATGGCCCTCCCCCCTCTCCCCCGTCCCCCCTCGATCACTGGCTCTGAGGCCGCCAGGCAGGAGCTACGGAGAGATCTGCAGACGGCTGCTACTGGTACTGGGCCAGGAAGTGCCCAGGCGAGGCCCAGCTGGGAAGCAAGGCAGGCTGGGACGGGCGCTACGTCTTGGGGCATTCTTCGTTTATTTATTTTTTGACAAATGTATGCTGACATGTGCCCACCATTTAGCACCAGACTATCTTCACTGCCCTGGACCGCCCCCGGGCTCCCTGTCCACCCCTCCCTCCCCCCAACCCCACAACCACGGATCTGTTTCCCGTCTCCGTGGTTTTGCCTGTTCGAGTGTCCCAAGGCTGTAAGTGGACACCAGGCCCCCAGGTGGACGGGGGCCGGTCACACCTGCTGCTGGAGGCGGGGTCCTAGCCGTTCACTGTCCCTTGCTGGAGGGTCAGTGGTCACACTGGTGCTGGCCTCGGTGGGCCGAGCCCTGTCACAGACAGAGCTGCGTGGGGTTGCCCCCAGCGCCCTGGTCTCTCCCTCACGTGGCTGTGGGGCACGAGGTGTCACGGTGAGAACACCCAGTGGTCTGGGCTGTCCATCCCCTGGGGTGGCAGCCAATGACGTGGAGATGTCACGGCTCTCTCTCATGTCACATGTTCCCGTGCGCCACGTGGTGGGCGTCAGGCTTATGATGGAGCGAGCACAACGCAGGTGTGGTCTGGGTCCCCTTGGCCTCAGGATCTGCTGAGGGCAACGGACAAGAACACAGGCTCTGAGGGGGAAGGCCACTTGCCCAGGGCCACACAGCAGTAGGCAGAGGAGTCTGCACGCTGGAGCCTGAGAAGACGGCCTGGGGAGCCCTGGCGTTGGCCCGCTGCCTCCCCGAGGCCCCCCACCCCCCGCCCTCCCGGCCTCCGGTGAGCAGGGTCCCCGCCCGGCCCGCTGCCCGCTCAGGCCCGCGCCTGCTCCCTGCAGGTCTCCCTCTGCCCCATGAGCTTCTTTGACACGACGCCCACGGGCCGGCTGCTCAACTGCTTCGCGGGGGACCTGGACCAGCTGGACCAGCTGCTGCCCATCGTGGCCGAGCAGTTCCTGCTGCTGGTCCTGGTGGTGCTGATCAACATGATCATCGTCAGCGTGCTGTCCCCCTACGTGCTGCTCATCGGCGTCCTCCTGTTCGCCACCTGCCTCCTCTACTTTATGTGAGCGGGTCTCTCTGCCCGCGGGCGGGCGGGCGGCCTCCGCGGGGCT